AGCCAATTATTGCAAAAAGTTAATAGACTTGTATATCTTTCATCTCCTTTGTTTATTCCACATTTGGATAAGATTAAATTGAAAATCTCTTCATAAATTGAGAATTCATTGAAGAATAATTCATCTTGTTTTTGTAAATTCCAAATATGTGCAGTTAAATATGCATAAAAAGGATTTGTACATAATTTAAGAATAGTGTCATTGTGATTGGACAAATATTTCCATACTTTTAATGATTTTTTATTGGTATTAGGTTTAATTTTAAGAAATTGTGGTAAATGATAATAATCATTCCATATACCATTTCCAAATTCATTACAACAGATAGACTCATCATTAAAGATTATATTAAAAAATATTTGAATTTGATTTTTGTTAAAACCTTTCAAATGGAATTTATGATGATAATGATAATTTGGTATTGAGTCTCTTCTATCATTCCATGATGGTCTTGACCAAACAATTAATGGACAATATAGTTTTTTGGCTTTTTTAATGAGGCTATCAAGTTTACTAGTTGAATAATCAACACCATCAATTAAAATTAGAATTTTACAATCCGATTCATCTTTATACAAGATTTTCTCTAAGATTTTTAGAGTAATTATTGAATTTTTGCAAAAATTCTGCTCTAATAATATTTCTTCAAGAGTAATATCATCATCATCATCAGTATCAATTTTATTTACATTCATATAGAAAATAAATGTGTAATCTTTTAAAATACTGTGCATCCCTTTTTCCCAAAGGTAAAGAATTTTTAGTGCATGAAATGTTTTCCCTGACCCAGCAGCACCGGAAATTAATACTCTCTTATCCTGCCTACCTTCAATTACATTCAAAAATTGTTCATTGCTAAAATATTTGCCATTTGTAGAAATCAATTGACTGGGTATCAAGATGTCGCCAAATTGAATTGTTGGGAAACAATGATTTGTAAATGGCGAATTTGAAGCTCTTTTCAATTGTTTTCTAACATATTTTCTTCTATCTTGTTGTATTGTTTTAATATCCATTAAATCTCCAAATTTTCTTCATAGATAAAGAGGAAATCCCCAAAAGCTAAGTTCTATGAAAGCCTCTTCACCAACCTCTTTTTTTCACAAGATTTAGTTAAAAATATTATTCTCATTTACCTCGCAATTTCGTTCAAAGCAATCCAACAAAATGAATACAAATTTCACAACAAGAAATTCATTATTTTGCAGAAAATCCTAGTATGAGTCAAGGTAAATAGTTACCTCACCATTTTATGCATATAACCTATTCGAATGTTATTCCAATTTTTATGCTGTCCATATGAGACAGATATTATCTAAACATAGATATTATGGTCATGTTTTTATTGTTTTCTTCTTGAATAAGAAAATCTGTTTCAAAATCTACATTAGCAGTTGCCTCATCAATCAATATCAAATATGACTGTTTTAATAATTCTCTTGCCAAACAAATTAATTGCTTCTCACCAATACTGAGATTTTTTCCTCCTCCAATCACAGGTGATTGTAATTTATCCTTCAATTCTCTTATCTTTTTTGATAATTGAACTTTTTGGAGACTCATCCAAATATCTTCATCTTAATTAAAAATATTTATAAAATCAAAGAAAACGCTTACAATGCCATCTACTGTAATCAGATATAATCCAATCAAAGTAGGCTTTATAGGTTCTCCAATTGGATAGTCATCTATATTTTGCTCATCTTCATGATATAAAATTATTTGATTACTCTGTGTATTTTTATCATCTGCAATTGATATTCGGATCTTTTCAAATTATTATTTCCTACCTGTTGAAGTGAACATACTTGTAAAACTTTGGTGTATTTTATAAAATTGAATGTATCTCCAAATACAATATTATCCATAATTGATGCATAATTTATTAGCCAAGGATCTTGTGATAAATACGATTTTTTTAGTGGAATGTCAATAAATCCATTCATTGGACTTAGCTCTCCAAGTATTGTTAGAAGTAGTGTAGTTTTTCCAGAGCCAGTTTTTCCATAGATTCCAATTAGAGATGGAGATTGAAAACAAACATTACATTCTGAATTAGAATTGTCTTTTTCTTTCCAACTAAAATTAACATCTTTTGAAAGGAAAATTTTTGGATTGTTGCTGTCTTTCTCATTGGAAGATGACAACTTTATATATCTATTTGTTGCTTTGTTATTTACAAGTATATCATATGCCTGATATGACTGAAATATTGCAATACAATTAATTTTATAAAGCAGGTAAATCCTGAAGGAAAACCATGAAGAATTCCAATAAGAATTGATGTTGTAAATATTGCTGTGATTGATCCCAGTGATAAGGCAAAATACTGAAAAGTATACGGTATTTTTTCTAGGTCAGTGGAGAAAACTGCCAAAATTTTTCCAGCTGTTGTTTTGTGTAAACATTCATAATCAATTTTTAAAATCTTTTCAAAAATACAACATCCAGAGCAGATTTTAGACAAAGGCCACATTTTATTAATTAAATAACATAATGGTCTGGATAAATCAATTAATCAATTTGAAAAGTGAAACTGAAAGTTGAAAAAAATTATAGATATTTTCAAAATGGCGGATGAAGGGTATTTTATCAGTAAGGAGGACGTAATTTGTCCAATTTGCTTGGAAAGCTGGATGGAAAATGATCCAAGATTACTTGCCTGTTTACACACGAAGATCATAGGGGCCGACAGAAAACGTCCCCAAATGAGATTTTTGAAAGCAACATTTCGGATTGAAAAATGGTTAGGAGGGATAAAGTAGATTTTGATTTATAGTTAGGGGGGTTCCATCTAAGGGTTAGGAGCAATCAAAAAGGTTAAGGAGAGACAAGGGCTAGGTTAGGGTTAGGGTTAAATCATGAATTTGGGGACGTTTTCTGTCGTATCCAGATCATAAGAAAGAGTCAGCGATGTATTGCGAAACGCATAGTATTCAAAATTTATGCGTCATTTGTTGGACAGAGAATCATAGCGATTGTAAAGTATATCCAATGGCCAGATTAGATAAAAAGAAAGAAATCATCGAACAACTGCAAATGGATGATGAGAAAAATGAGGAAGAAATTCTGTGTAAATTGGCTCAATATAAATTAAATATATTTGATGAAGTTGAAAATCAATTTCAAACTATTAGAATAAAGTTTCAAGATGCAATTGAAGAGAGAAAGAAATTATGGAGTATTGTCTATAATCATAGTAAACTATTGGAAAAAATTCCAGATGATATCAGCCTTCTCAAAATCGAGGACTTCTTTCTTCATCGAAAACTTTGGAAAGTATCGATTTCCAAAAATGTAATTTAGATAAAGATGATTGTAGATCTATTACGAACCTGCTGAATAATTGCTCTAAAATAGAAAGAGTAGCATTAGACTCCAATGAAAAAACATGGGAAATGATCTGATAGATATTTGTCGAGGATATACACATTCAACAAATACATTGAAATCTATTCATTTCCAAAAGTGTAATTTGAAATTAGTAGAATAGAATATATTTCATATGAGAGAAACATTTTTAAATTAGTAAAGTTATATGTTACTTGAATACCACACATCAAAAGTTTTTGCTGTTTACTATTCATTCAAGTTAACATTCAAATATTTAAATAATTCAAATGTTATTAATGTGAACAAATGAAAAGGTCATTTACTTGGAACATCATTTTGTTCCTAATATATATACACTTAATACCATGAAAAATGCATATGGCCAGTTAAGCATACTAACACATAACAAACTAGCCGAATTTCGTAAAGCTCCTCCAATTGCACTACCCACCATATAAACAGCCAATTTTGCAAAACTTTTCAAAAATATACTGAAAAATCGGCTCTCTGGTTGATTTTCTTTTTTCTTTTCCAGTTTTATGTCAACATTTCCGCATTCATTGTCTAGTACATCAACTTTGGTGTTGTTGTACTTCCAAAAGGATACAACATAATGGCCTCTACAAATGAAGCGGTGGCCTTCAAATTCTGAGGACAAATCAACAGTTGCATCTGACTCATTCTTGAATTTCAGATATAGGCAAATCCTTTCTTCTATTTCAAAACCTGACAAATCATCAACAGTTATTTTTTGATTATTGGCAATCTCTCGAACATCTAACTGATTGCAAAGTATTCAAAAAGTTTTGTTCTATTTGAATATAAATTTTACAGCAGCAAGTGAAATACATACATTATTAGGAATAAAGAGAATTGAATCTCATAGGCTTAGTGCTCTGTCGGGAGAATGTGTAAAAATGTGTTAATTTTATATGTATAATTAATCATATTTTCAAAAAAAGTTGACTTTGATAGTTAAACTTAAGGGACAAAAAAGGTTCAAAAAGAGACAGAAAAAGTCCACAAAAAAACAAAATATTTACTAAATGACAAAAATTTTTTAGATATCTCTTCAGAGTAACAAAAAGATTTTTTAATTCATACTTTTGACAAAATATAAAAAAAATGTATGATCCAAGCAAAAACAGGTATTGTTGGAAATCTTCTGCTGTGAATATAAAAAAGATCAACTTCCTTTTTTGCCTAATGTGTTGTATTTATATTTTTTTTTACTGTTTTACAAACTTGAAAATGAAACACAATCATTCAGTTCGGCCCACTTTGGACATTTCGGACCATTTTAGAACATTTTGGCCCATTCTAAGGAAAGCATACCAAAGGCATTGTGTCTCACTTGAAGATATATTAAATGAAATATTGACACTTTTATGTTTAATTTCTACCAAAATTACATTTCTTTAGACTATTTGTGAAGGAACTTGAAAGGTTCTATTTATGTGAGTACTTTGGTGCATTGATACATGATTGGTAAAGGTGAATACTGTTCTGAAGAAGATATGGTAAAGAGAGTTGATATAAATGATGAAACTTCATTTGAGATAGATAAGCAGCCTAACATCATGGAAAAAGTAAGAGATCATTTCAAAGTTGTAGGTAGAAGTACAAAAAGTAAAGACTTACTTCTACAGCTCCTTGTCCTTCTTACAAAAAGGATCAAAGTCCATTGTAAGAAATGAAAATAATCTTCATAAGTTGCATAAAAATTTGGAAAATGTTCTTCAATCAAAAATGGACTTGAAAGAAATAATCATTAATACTCTATACTGGTTTTGTGTGTTATATAACTTCTTTGAAGAATTTATATATTTATGCATTCCTATCCAATCAGCAGATATATTACACATCAGCTTTTCTTCTTTGTTCTCTCTCCTCCTTTTCCCCGCAAAATTCAGTTATGATGCTAATAGGTGAATTGATGAATGAGTATAATACCATCTTTTCATGAGATATAAATTTCATTTGATTTCTACATTTAAAAAATCCTTGTAGTTGAAAATTTCCTATTTAAAGCAAATATCAATAAAGATAAGATAAAAAAGAAGCAAATTCTCCCAAACCACAATTGTATTCATCATCTCCTAGTGGACATTGGTTGACTCCATCACACATTTGCTCAATTGATATACAATATCTTTCTCTACTACATAAATAGAAACCGTGTTTACAAGATGTTTCTGCGCAAAATTCCCATCGAATATAAGAACAACTGTCCAACTCTGGGGCAACTCCTCCTTCTTCATCTTCGCCACCCTGACAATCCATCTTACCATCTCCTTCATAGAATTTTGGTAGGCATATACCATGACATTCAATTTTATTTCTCTTATCTCTGCACTCTACGACATCTTCATAAGAATTTGAATTACTTTGAGAGAAAAAGCAGTTCTCATCACTGTAATCATAGCAATGTCGTTCATTGCCACAAATATAGTGATTCTATTCATTTGAACATGCCCTATACCAAATATACACTAGCGCCATCTATATATATATATATATATAAACTGGTATATCTAAAGTTTTTCTGAACCACCTGATGTTGTAGAGATCAGATTTCTATTGGAATTCTTTCTTTGCCATGCAACTTTTTAAAATTAAATTCATTGGCAACTTATTAAAATATTTAGATTCTGTTTTATTTTTTACCACCAAATCCAAATTTGGAAATATCATCAGCATTGAATTATGAATTTAATGAAACAACACTTTGAAAAAGTTCAAAAGTTTTAATTTTACGTAAAGTTGGATAATCAGCAAATGTCAAATTTCTCACACTGCAAAACTTTTCAACTTTATATGTGTCTAATTTGTTGTTAATTTTGAAAATATGGTAGTGAAATTGGTGTGAAATCTTTAGATACAAGTTTGCATTTTTTTATTGAAATGTATATGTTAACTTTACTGTAAAAAATGCGGCTTTTGCGCATACTTCCGCCTCTTTTGAATAGATAGTATCAACTCTGTAAACTTGATTGTTGTATTTTGAATTTAAAATATAATTATTTTGAAAACTAGTAGCAAATAAATCTTTAACAAATAGAAAAGAAGAAACCAAAAAAAAATACATCAAAATAATTTTAAAAATCTACTAACAACTGGAATTTCGCTCAAGGCACGACAGTAAAATTATCTTTTCACTCAACTTTTTCTTGATTTTGCTAAATGGAAAGAAATTTTTTTTTGTAATACGACCATTTTGGTATTGAATTATCATTATTTCTCATTTACTGATAGCAGCATTCTCCCTTATGATTCCAGTCCAAATGAGCTGTTTTAATTGGTTTATCAACTTTCCAAAAACTGGTAATACTGTGAATATCATCATCATATCCAAACATTTGGCAGAAATAGACACTGAATTCTTGATTTATTGCATTGCCAAATATAATATGGTTCTCCATTTACAAGAAGTATTATAAAACCTTTAATAAAAATGCCATCTCTTGTTAAATTACTGAATATGATTTTCCTTTCTAAAGGACAAAGTAGATATTTCAAAATTATGCAATTTCCCTTTCTGTTTTTGTGTGTTAGTTTATCTATCTTTTTTTCACATTTGGTATCAATTAATTTAGGTTTTTTCCTCTACAGCTGCAAATTTAATATCACAATTTTTAAATACATTCTCTTCAATTTTACAACCAACAATACGGGGAATCTGTTTTAAGGAATACCTTTTGAAAAGGTTAATTATTTGAATTGGACATACATTTGATTTACCGATATTTCTCGACATGCATGATATTAGTACTTGGTTTGTATGGTTTAATCTACACATTAATTTGCAAGCAACCAGATTTTGTATTCCACAATCAAATAAAGCTGGAGATTTACCATAGGATTTCATATATCAAAACTTGAAAATTCCCTATTAACTAAATAGTTAGCTTTTACTTGGAAAACTACAATTGCACTTCTATCAATTGTTATTTCACTGAATATTACAAAATTTGCCTCTTATGACATTTTAGCCATTATTGTTCATATGGTTCTCTTAAAAACTGACCATTTATCTAGCCATATATTTAACATGATCATGCAGTTTGTCATTTTCACCTAAATGTCTTTTAATCTTTTTGAAATGATGTTTTGTAATAATACCAGAAAGAAATGGAAGAGCTAACATTACCATAGCCATGATTAATTAATTTTCCTAAGTATTCAACTTTGCAACATATCTTTATAAATCTTTACAAGGAAATGTAAATTTATATAATTTACTCATAATCTAACAGCATAAGAAACATTATGTAAATTGATGATAGGTTAAATATGATAAACTTATTGCAACAATTACCATAATACTGCAATAGACATTTTGCCAAAAATGTTTCCATGGTGGAGATTTGTCTGGAATGATTGGATGAGTTTTGCTCTTGGAGTTCTCTAGGCATTGCTTGTCCAATGGTAAATAAGTAAAAGATTATTTTTTGATTGAGTAACAAAGCAAATGATCATTTTGTTAACAAGCATACTGGCTTCTCTATACTTTTTCAACATTAACAAACTAAAGAAAAACATTGCAATGGAGGTCAATACCCAACTTTCAAAACAGATAAATTAACTACTAACTTTAAATGTACCAAAGTAGTTGTACATATTTGGCATCAAACCAAAATTTATATCTTAATAAATCCAATACTCCTTATTCCATTCCAGTATTTGCCATAACACTCCATATTTCATTACAGTTTAATTGCAAGTTCTCTTCATATTTTCTTCTTTCCTTTATGAAGACAGGAAACCGAATAAAGAATTCATCTAGAATTCCAATTTTAATATAATATGACAGTTATGGAGATTTATTTCAAACCAACCCTTTCCTAAAATGTTTTCATGCTTAGAAACAACCACTCTCATGACATTAGATTGTCCTGGAATATTTCAAAGTGTCTCTTACACATTAAAATAGTTGGTGTCTGATCTAAAGACAATCCTTTTTGTGCTCAAGTCTGCAGTTGATTTGTTGAGAACAATTTTAATTTCTTAGAAATACATAATGAGATCGAGAAAAAGACTAAGAAGAGTATTGTTGGTGATTTCTATGCATAAAACATTGATCCAATTTGGATATATTTGTCTAGTTCTAATTCTATTGATTTATTACAAAACACTAATGTTTAAACACAAGTTTAGCTTATTAAGTCAACAAAATTTTCTTTGTGTATTTTAATAGGAGAAGCAGCTCTACTTTTTCAATTTTGGCCTATTTTACTTTTCATACAGATAGTAAGGTTTAAGCCTATTAATCTAGTTTAGAAAAACTTGTTGATTTTCAGTGTCCAAGTAGATGGTATATTGATTGTTATCAAGAGAAATTTCTCTATCTGATCTGACTGAAAAGAAAGGAGTACTTTACTGAATATATTAATAAATTCTGTAGATTTTTGTTTTCTCTTATAAGGAACCAGTCTAAACTTTTATATTATTTTTTTTTCAATACGAAATCCTCTGCTATAATAATTGTAGCTTACCTAAATCCATAAACAGGATATTTAAAGGTTGATCAACTCTCTCTACTTTTACCATATTTAATAAAGATAGGTGGACATTGAGAAATTAGACACAACTATAAATTATTTTTCAGTGTTTAATCTGTTTGTTTAAGGCAGTTTTCTTTGTTAAAACTATCAAAAATGTGTGATGATAATGCTGCAGCTGTGGTTGTTGACAATGGCTCTGGTTTTATTAAAGCTGGCTTTTCTGGTGATAAAGAACCCATGACAATTTTCCCCACCATTGTTGGTAAATCAAAAAGTGTAATGAAGGATCAAAAGCATTATTATTATGGAGATGAAGCCCAATCAATGAGAAAAAAACTAGGTATTAGATATCCAATAGAAAAGGGTATTGTAAGAAACTGGGATGATATGGAACAAATATGGCAGCATACTTTCTACAATGAGCTACATGTGTTACCGGAAGAACAACCCATTTTGATGACAGAAGCCCCAACGAATCCTCGGCCTATTCGTGAAAAAATGACACAAGTAAGATTATAAATTACAAAGCAAATATTTAGTGAAAACTTTAAAAAGGTTGACAGAATTTTTCATACCAGTTTACAATAATTTTATCTTTTTTGTAGATAATGTTTGAAACATTCAATGTTCCATATTTCTATGTAAGCGTCCCAGCTGTACTTGCTTTGTATGCTGAAGGAAGAACAACTGGTGTTGTTTTGAGCTCAGGTGATAGTCTTACTCATGCTGTTCCAGTCTATGATGGTCATATTGTCCCTAATGCCACTATCCATCTTGATATAGCTGGGAAAGATTTAACTGACTACCTGATAAAAATTCTTGGTGATAAAGGTTACAACCTAACTAGTTCGGATGATAGAGTAATAGCAACAGATATAAAGGAAAAATTGAACTATGTGGCATTAAATTTTGAAGAAGAAATACTTTGCGATTCATCAATTGAAAAAAGATACGAATTACCTGATGGACAAGAAATGACAATTGGAAATGAAAGATTTCGTTGTCCAGAAGTTCTTTTCCATCCTTCAATTCTAGGACTAGAATCTGATGGTATTCACAGAACAATTTATAATTCTATAACAAAATGTGATGATAATATCAGGTGAATTTTTTTTTATTCTGCTATGAAATAATGTTGATAGACAACTTGAATTTTGCTTACAGAGACACACTGTTTAATAATATAATACTGAGTGGAGGTTGTACCATGTGTGAAGGTATTGGTCAGAGAGTACACAAAGAATTAGCATTGATACTTCCTCCAAGAAAAAGATGTAATGTTATTGCTTCAGCTAAAAGGAAATATTCTCCATGGATTGGAGGTTCGAGTTTAGCATCTTTATCTACTTTTCGAGAAATGAGCATTAGCAGGAAAGAATATGATGAATCTGGGTCATCTATTATACATAGGAAATGCCTCCTAACAAAAGTAATGTAGCTTGTGAACCTTTTGTCTTAATAAAAACAAATTATAGTTTATAATGTAAAATGTGTTACCTTTAACTTGTAGACATTAGCCCAAGTTCAAAAGTATTAACTTGTTTTTTAACAAACATGTTCAAATTGCACTCATATTAACTCATCACTTGTTTACATAAGATAATTTAAAATTTTGAGATGCTGTTGAAAACGCCCATTTTGGTGTATTTTTGAGGTGAAATCTTGGGTTGGGATTGGGTTATGAAAATTATTTAAGCCATTGGTTTGTAATTAGGTGGGTCCAAACTAAGGGTTAGGAACAATGAAGTGCTGGAAACAGGGTCCAGGACTGGGTTAGGGTTAGGGTAAAACTGTCAATGGTAAAACTGGAAATCAAGACTATTAAAACTAAATGAATGAAGAAAATTTAAGCCCCGTGATTTCTGAAAAAGCCATCCCAAGTATCCTTAAAGAATGGGGAGCAAGGCATTTAGATATCCCAAAAGTGTGCCCTCTGTCAACAAGAGCAAATGCACAATATGAGATGTTTTAGGGGGATTTGTCCAGAACCAAATTGAATGTCAGAAAGTTACATTCACAGATGAATCTAGATTTTCATTAAATGGCCCACATCATTTGACAATGGTCTAAATGACTGACCAAGGCTTTCTAGGGAAAAACCTCTGGTTGGTAGAGGAGGAGTGATGGGATGGGGGTGTAAATCCTCAGATGGTGAAGTCTTTGATTGGCCTCCATATTCTTCAGATCTCAAGAACATAGAAATTTTATGGGGTTATATGAACCAAAAGGTGTACAAAATTCAAAAACCAAAATATAGGACAAGATATAGGAGGAGGTAGAAAAAATCAAAAACAATGATAAAGATTTTGTGAAACATTTATATAGAGGAATGGTGAAGTGAGTTTTGCTGGTGTATAATAAACAAAGGCAACAGGATTGATAAGTAGCTCTTAAACCAAGGGAAAGAGCAAAAATTAAAAAAAAGATAAAGACAAACTAACCAATTAAGCCTATATGAATATTTTTGGCCATATTTTTGGATTCTTTTAAGAAAAAAAAATCATTTAAAAAAACAATTTCTTTTTTTTAATATATGGATATTTGTGTATACTACATGTCAGGTTTGAAAATAGATAAAAAGCATAAAAAAGCTATTATTTAAACTTAAGTTGTAAAAAAAGGACAATAAATATTACTTTATATCATTTTATATCAGTTTATAGTGCATTAATAATAATAAAATTGATCCTCTGATATCCAATCTTCTTCTTTGACATAAGCTTTTCATAGATAATAACTACATCTGCTTCTCTTTTCAGTTCATCAACCAGCCAATAGAATGATCTTTCAGATTGTACTTTACTATTCATTCTATTGTGCCATCCCTCCACACTGTTATTAGTTCTTATGGACAATCCATATATGGACCAATTCTCTGGTTTCCAGATGGAGTTGATAATCCAAGTAGACTCAAAATATTCCCACAAATCTGCAAATTTTTCTTTTTCTGTCAGGTGAGATATTAATCTATAAAATGTTGGAGCAATGATATTAGCAGGCAGAAAAGGTCAGACCATCAGCTTTCTCATGTCTCTCCAGTCCTCTCCTTTCTCCATATACTTTCCAGAGTAGCCAAGAGACTAGGTGTTCTATATATGGTGGGCTTACATTCTCTAAATTTATTACATGTTTGGTAAAAGCAACTTCCACCTGGTCTCAGCCGCATGATTATTTTGAAAGGACTTGATGGAGCTCTGAATCAGTTAGATACATAATGGTGGAGAATGTGCCAGGATGAGTATGTCAGGAAGAGAGAGAGAGAGAGAGAGAGATTTGCAATTCTTTCACAAAAACTATAATTTTATTGGGGAAAAAGAGTAATGTGATAATGAGGATTAATTAGAATTAACTAGATAATCCTAGTTAATCCTATTATAGAAATTATAGAACTTTAGAAAGGTGTCAAACTTGTTACATCTTATTCAAAAACAGATGTGGAAGAGGCAGGCTTGTTTTTGGAGTGCCACATGTTACCCATAAGTGATGCAATAGTTTTTCATGTTTTTGTTTTATGTGCATTGTGAGACTGTTACATTTCAACTTATATTGTTACAAGCTTAAGTATTATAATTCAAATAAACAATTTAAATTAAACATTTTGTTCAAAGGTTCCAGTACAAAATATTCACAATTTTCAAATACTTCAATTTCCAATTTAATCTCTTGTTTTAGAATACAAAAAAAATTTTTTTTCTGCTTAAATCATTACAATACTCAATTTATCAACCAATAAGACAAAAAACAATATAATCTTGGCTGGTATTCAACTCCCTGTCCAACTGCAAAAGTATCTCATTATGAATATTTATAAAGTGCAATTTAATATCAACTAGCAAAAATTGGCCACTAAACAAAGCATAAAGTCACAGAGTACAAGACTATAAACAGTTTCTGCCCACACTCAGATTATTGTAAATTATTGATTGGCTATTAAAAAAACTGGGTCATTGTCCTGTCAAACAAAAAAATGTTATGAGAAAAAAAAATAGTCCCAGTTTAAGCACATAATTTCTATAAACAAAAAAAATTATTCTTTAGTATTAGATTATTTAAATATTTTCTATAGATTGTTGATAATATAATAAACAATTTAAATCAATTCAAAAAAAGTGAAATCATAACACTTCAATTTCAATTCTTACCAAGCAAAAAGAAACAAATAAATGGAAATTATTGATTGTTCCATTGGAGATTGTTGGGCATATAGAACTGAAACTTCTGATAAGATAGAATATATCAGAGGGTGTTCAAATGAAACTTGCACTTCAGAAGCAACAAATGAAATTTGCAAAACTGCAAATGGAAAGACAGAATGTGAAAAGTGTTGTAAAGGTGACAAATGCAATACTTGGGAATTAGATGGAAAAGCAGGAGTTGAAAAGACTAATTTTTCATTTCAATTTATTGTCATGATGAAGCTTTTACTACAAAACTAACTGCTATTAATTTGCTTCTGGTGACTATTCAAAAAGTTCTCATGATGAAATATATTTACCAGATGTTATTGCAGTGAGAGGTTTTTAACATTTAGAGTACTTCAAGTAGGATTTTACCTTATAAGTTTTGCATCAGCTTTTAGAAACAGTTTAGTTTCTGGAATCAGATTTTTTAGTAGTTTAAAAGGTTGAACCTTTGACAGCCATATTAAGTTTTCTAACACCTATTTTACAATAAATAAGATTTAGTCAAGGATTAAATGCTAGTGAACTTATTTTACTTAAAGAACTATCCAAGTATTTATTATTCAGATTACAATTATGTAACCTATCTATATTTACTCAACTCAAATGATAGTTTACCAATTTATTTCAATTCCTTCAAATGATAATACTTGTTCTCAAAATGAAATTGTAAGATAATGATAATCTACAAATAAAATTTTTTGGATGTATAGCTTTTGACGAAAGTGATGGTAAAATTGCTTTTTTTCATTTTTAAGTTCAGAAGAGAAAAGTGCTTATAAACTACTTTTAGAGATAAGTTGTGTTTTAAGAAATGTAAATCAACGATAATTTGTGCTTTTAGGGTCCAAATGAGCCAACTGGCAACATCTGTATGCATAAAATTATTTTGGACCATTACAAGGCTATTTGGAAAGGTTTCTGATATACTGTTAATGGTTAGTTGCTCTTTTGACTGGTCACAAGCAATAGTCCCAAAAATTCAAATTAGTAACTATATTAAAAAGCATAACATCTATATATTGTAATAATGTAATTGAGTATATTGAAGACAACTGGATTAAAGGTAGCTTTTGGCCTCCAGAGACTTGTTCTGTCATCAACAAAATAATCAAAACTAACAGTGATTTGGAGGGTTTTCATCAATGATTAAATAAAGATAGAGATTTAAACTTGTCATTTTATTTGGTTGTTGATGAACTGAAAAGAGAAACTGACTTAATTTTTTATGGGAAATTGTTTAATGAGAAAAAAATAGCAAGATTTAAAAAAAGCCAAATTCAAGAATTCAAAAAAAAAAATCCTAGCAATTTGGGATAAGTTCAAAGCTGTTGAAATAACAGCAAGTCAACATCTTGAAATGTCTTCTGCAGTTTATTATTAGTCTTTTTACTGCTGTTTTCTATAGCAGAATTAAAGTATATATATTGTGTATACAATACTGTTGAATAATGAAAATAATCAATATGACATTCATTCCTTCTGAATTTCTAAATTAAAATATAAATATGAATAATGAGAAGATCATTATCTTTGCAACAAATTATCAATTGGAGTTATTGTCAAAGGGAAAAATTTGGTACCTTGATGATACTTTTGAAATTGCCAAGGATCCATTTCTCCAAATGTTCTCAATCCATGGAGAGTTGAAGCAGGTGCCATTGCTTTTTTCATTCTTAACTTCAAAAAAGAAAACAGCTTTAAATTACTATTCAAGGTAAGTTAAATACTTAAATCAATGATAGTTTGTGCATTTAGGCTGAAAATGAATTAACTGGTCACATCTCTGTTCAAAAAATTCTTTTGAACTATGAGAAGTCCATTTGGAAAGTATTAGAGATACATAGCCAGATGTTACAATGGCTGGTTGTTCTTTTCATTGGTCACAAGCCATTTTTAGACAATTTCAGGTTAGAAATAATGCTAATAAGTGTCAAAATTTAATCTAAGTTTATTATTCTACTTTTAGGATCTGGGTTACAGCCCAGAATTTAAAAAGAGAGAAATAGAATGGCAATCAATGAAAATGATTATGGCTTTGCCCTACCTGCCTCATACTTTGATTGCAAATCAATTCTACAAAATAAAAAGTAAGCTGGCTGAAAGAAATAAGCTTAGAGATTTTTTATTAGAATATGTGGAGGATAATTGGACAAAAAATAACTTTTGGCCTCCAGAAACTTGGTATGTTTTTAACCAGTCAACCAGAACAAATAATGATCTGGAAGGATTCCATAATTGACTCAATAAAAACATGGGAATAAATTCATTATTTTACACAGTTATTGATCTAAAGAGAGAGGCTGAGTTAATTTCTGTATATGAAAAATTATTAAG